AGTGACACCTGCTACTGCTCCGGCAACAGAGCAGTGACAAATAGCTGCGATTTTTCGGAACAGCTCCTGGTAGCGCGCGCATACATTTCTACCGTGATATATTCCCTTATTTTCGCGTCAAAGTTCATAAATCGACACTTGTCGTACTTAATAGCGGCTAGCGTTAGGGAATAGGGATACTTTCGTCATGCGCTGTTTTTCAAGCATGTGCCAACTTTCGTAGATTTAGCTCAATTTGTTATTTCGCTTTTGCATTATTTATTTGAATTTGATATAGCGTTATCTGTTATTTTGTCCTAAGTTACTACTGATAAATTTTTATTACAAATAAAATTGGACATGGATAAACGAAGAAAATCTTTCCTGTGGAATTTATTTTTACCAACGTATGAAAGTAAAGCTTGTTGTAATATATGCAAGCAAAATATTTGTTATAAATCTTCAATCACCAATTTAAAAAGACACATAGAACAACGACATCCTACAGTGAGTACAGTGCCAGATATTCAAAATTTTTCCGCGAGTGCAACAAAAACAAATGAAGAACAGTCGCATGTTTTTTGCTTAGTCTAAGTTTTAAGTGATTTTGTAAACAAAAACTTTTAAAATATTTGTAGAGCAGCAACCAGCAATACACGCATTGCTCTAGTCGCTGAAATACAATGTCTTTAAATCAAACGCGACTGTATTATATGTTTAGTGTGTGACACTGTGACTAATTCAAAATTCAAGCACAGTTCGCAACGGCTGAGCGAGAATCTGCTCTGCTGTGGCCGGCACGCCTGAGCTATGTCTCTGGCGCTAGTGATTGCACTTTGCAGTAAACGCTCCGAAAAATCACTGCTTCTTTTGTCGCAGCGGAACAGTCAGCTCCAGTGACAACTGCGGAACAGTGCCAAAGTAGCAGACAGTGAAAGAGCAACACATCTCTAAAACAGATTATACTTTTTTATTTTCAGGAAGTTGTTTACTTCTCTCCTTGTTAATACAGAAATATTTATATATTTTTAAAAATGTCGAAACCAAGTGGATATGATTCTCATAGTGAAGGCCCAGGTTTTGTTGGCATTCGGTTTTGCCAGGAATGGTTAGAAAATATTTGATAACCTCAAATTTGAATTTATTTATCTCATGTTTTATTATTTTTAACCAAAACCATAATTTTATCTTATTGCAGCAACAACATGTTGTATCCAAAAGAAGACAAAGAAAACAAAATTTTACTTTACGCCTGTCGGAATTGTGATTACAAGCAACACGCTGATTCAAAGTGCATTTACGTTAACAAAATTATGCACGAAATTGAGTAAGTTACAGTAATTGTCACATAAGAAACATAAACATCAACTTTTTTTAGCGAACTAACCCATATTGTGGCAGATGTAATATCAGATCCTACATTACCCCGAACAGAAGACCACCAATGTCCGGAATGCAATCATAGGTAGTCTAATTGTATATTTGTGTTAACCGTTCTAATAGAGGACTAATATTTAAATTAATTACTTGGCTTGTTTATAGGGAAGCTGTATTCTTTCAAGCCCAAACCCGTCGTGCTGAGGAAGAAATGAGATTATACTACGTCTGTACTAATCCACATTGTGCTCACAGATGGACCGAATAAATGTTTATTATAATACAATTTTAATTATTTTGTTACTTTTTGAAACTAATAAAATGTTTAGTCCATAATTTTTTCTTTTAATTTACTCTACAATGTTGCATTGACAAGTAAGTTATATTTAATCTTTAGGATTCTTAAATTTTAATTGCAATAACAGATAACACTGTTAAAAACAATTGACAAGAACATCATATCCTTCAAGAACATGATCGACAGAAGTGAAAATTATCAGTTTCAAAGTTAAAGCAACTTATCTTGTACATAGAAATAACTATATCATTCTATTCATTCTCCTGAAGTGTCATTGACGGTGGTAAATCTAACTGGTAGTTCTTAAGTGAAATCGAAACAAGAAAATACAATACAATTTGTGACAATTTTAAGTATTTCTTTTAAATTAAGGGTTGCAGTAATCTGTGTTATCGACGAAATCTGTCTCCCTTTGACCTCCATATGTCCTTGACAATTTTTAGACAAATATTCGTTAGACCGTCAATTCGCTGCCGGCTTTTTTCTAAAAGTACATCAAAAATGGCATTAAACAAACTGGCTATCGATGCATTGGACCTTGGAAACAAAAGAGTTCTCATACGGTAAGATTAAATATAAAATAACCATTTTTTGGAAAAAATTAATTAACTGCTATCATTTTTAGAGTCGACTTCAACGTTCCCTTAAAAGAAGGTGTAATTACTAACAACCAACGTATCGTTGCCGCTTTAGAAACAGTGAGATATGCCTTGGACAAAAATGCAAAGAGCGTGGTGCTAATGTCCCACTTGGGGCGACCTGACGGCAATCCAAATCCAAAGTATACTCTAAAACCCGTTGCAGAAGAATTGAAAAAATTACTAAACAGGTATCGTGCTGCAAGTATTCCGTATTTCTAAATTAGAACAAGGTTAATGTGATGTAACAGTTTATGTACAAGGTTCTTTTAGGACATCACAACATCCTTAAATACCTAAGGCGTAAAATAATTATATTAAGTACTGAAACGTTGTGATTAAGAAATAATAGTGTTATTAACCCAAAATCTCAAATCTTGTTTATATTTAATCGATATTTAAAACAAATATTATGCTTCACAAAAGATATAAATGTAGATGACGGATGGGTTATCTTATTTTTCTAATGGCAAGAACTATTAAAATTATTAGTTATTTGTGATTAAGTTACTATGAAAGTAAACAAGTATCTAAATGATAAATAAAATGATAATCAACTTCCTTTAAATGATTCCAAATATAATGTTGTCTTTTTTTTTCTATAAAAATAACATTTTCTTTTATTGCATTTTAAGTAACCACATTGCTTGAGAGGTTAGTTGTTAAACATGTTTAACTGCAGATATAAAGTATATTTTCCTATTTTAATGGTGCACTAATATTTCCTTGGGAACAGGACTGTGCATTGTTGTCAGTTTATTAAAAAGAAAATTTCACCACCACTCACAGTAAATAAAAAAATAAGTGACACTTAATTGTTTGTAAAAACTAAATTATTTTAAAAAAATATTTCATATTAGTCAGATCAATATTTTTATTTGTTTTTTATTATGTTCGTTTTTAAGGTAGCAAAAATAATTATTTTAAAACATAAATTAGTTTTATTTACAATTAATATTTAATAAATCGTGATCATTTTTAATAGGTATTTTAAAAACAATTTTTTTAATGTCTGGCGCTTTGTCCACACTGATATCAAAAAAAATATGGTGACTTTAAAATAGCACGTTATATTAAAGCAATCTGTTTTCATTAAATTATGTTTTATTAGTTTTGCTGCCTATCAGTTAATTTAAAAAATTAGTATGTATTTATTTTTTAGAAATGATAGAATGTTTTTTACGTTTTGTGTTTCGACCACAGTGATACCAAAATAATATGGTGACTTAAATAACACGTCGCTAAGTTATACAAAAACAATCTGTTTTACTAAACTATATTCTATTGTAGCTTCTGACACAGCTTACCATGCTAATTCGGGTGGTCCTGCCTATACAAGAATTAAAGTGCTGTTTAAAAAACTATACATACTATTATCCCTAAAAAACGACTCCCACTTAAAGCTACACCCTCTATATTTATTTTTAGAGAAATTACATTTCTTCCTGATTGTGTGGGGCCTGAAGTCGAACAGGCCTGCGCTGACCCTGCGCCTGGTACAGTAATCTTGTTAGAAAACCTGCGATTCCACATAGAAGAGGAAGGTGAGTGATCCGTTGTATCATCACCTAAACTGTACGCACATACAAGACGCTAAAAGGGAGACATTATTTCAAATATGTTAAATTTATCTCCGTTTTCTTCTAGGTAAGGGCGTAGACGCGTCAGGCCAAAAGGCCAAGGCCAGCCCCGAGAAAGTCAAGGCCTTTAGAGAGAGCCTCCGTAAGTTGGGCGACGTGTACGTGAACGATGCCTTTGGCACTGCACACAGAGCTCATGCCTCTATGTTGGGGGAAGGCTTTAATCAACGCGCCTCGGGATTTTTACTCAAAAAGGAACTTCAGTATTTCGCTAAGGCTTTAGATAACCCTGAAAGGTAAGTTGTGTTGGTGACAATTAAGTAGTTTTTAATTTGTTTTTTTGTTTTACATGAATTGTTTTTTAGGCCATTCCTGGCGATACTGGGAGGCGCTAAGGTCGCTGATAAAATTCAACTGATTGAGAACCTGTTGGATAAAGTCAACGAAATGATAATCGGCGGAGGGATGGCTTATACTTTCCTCAAGGAGTCCAAAGGAATGAACGTGAGTGTCGTTATATAATTTTTTTAACTTGGTTCTCTCAAACTATAAGCAAGGAAAAATAACGGTCTTTCAAAGACCCGAAGGGCTTGAAAGGCTGTTATTGATTAGAAAAAGGTACTTAAGGCTCTTCTTTTTTGTCAAGGTCAAATTGAAGGACACCGTCCGATGAAATATTTTGTCCTTGAAATAACCTTTGAAGGTTGTTCCGAAGAAGAGCTTCAAGTACCTATCTAAATGTAAAATTTTGCGCTATTCGAATCTGGGGTCAAATATAGAGGTTTCTATTTAAAAAAATTGATCTGACCTTCCAATGACCTTGAAGGTCAATGTCAAGGTCAAATTGAAGGCCACCATCCGATATTTTCTTTTGTGAAAAAAAAAAATTAAAATCGCGGAATTTTACCAATTTTTTGTTTATTAAAAATCCCCGCGGGCCACCCGAAGTCTAGACTTCTGAATTTTTGTTGTTTGTAAAAAATATAATTTTGCATATTTTTACCCAATTTTTTCATTTAATATTCCCGCTTTTTACTCGAGGGCCGGGCTTTTGTGATTTACTGTATTCATATAAAAAAAAAATTATTCTTATTTTGCTAACGAAATAAAACAAATAATTAAAGCAATTCCGTGTTTTGGTGGCCTTGACGCTCCCTGAGGTGGTGGGGCGAGCCAGCTGCCACCATACCCTGTTTGCCCCTTTACTGACCTTACCATGTTTGTCCTACCGCTTGGCACCTGATTGGGTATCTTATTTAAGTCCTACCTAATTAAGGCTGACGCTCCCAAAAAAAAAAGCCAAAGGACTTTTCGTCTCAGAATTTCACCCTCCTTACCCCTATGTGCTTGTCTACTATTTTTGAGACGCCGGGTATACTGATTATCTGTAACCGTTTCCAAAGAAAAACAATAGTCCGGGTGAATTAGTTTTTTTTTTTAAATCGGGCCTAACTCAAATTTTATGGGGTTAAAATTAAGTAAAAAATACACAGAATAAAAGCCTATACTTGTGTGATTGTAGAGGTCGAGCGTCATATTGTTTGTAACAAAAGAAAGAAAATAATTAGCCTTTTTTTGGGTTTTTCGCTTATAAGCCCGAAAATAAGCCTCTAATGGACATGAAGTATATTTATCGATTTTCTTCCTGAGGAAATTTACTACAAGGATAGGCGTTTGCTCGCAATTTTTTTTTACATTGCAAATTTAGCAGTGAAAAAAACGTAGACCAAGAAATAAAGGTGAAAAATCATCGAGAAAACGTGAAAATTACTGGGCGTGATTTTATTGTTGGAAAGTCTTGGGAATGATAATATAAGAGGCGTCTCATCTCGTGGGTCATGAAAAAAGTGTAGTGTCATTATTTTTTATCAACAAATAGGTCAAAAGTTCGTAATTTTTCGTTCTACGCGTTATTGTAAAAAAAACTATTAATCTTAGTAAAAAATGTTCAACATATAATTTGATCTAGAGAAACTCATCTTTAAAATGAGACTTTATAAGTTAAAATTGCTTTATAAACAAAAAAAGTTATTGCAAAATTAAACGGAAAAGTGCTTTTTGTTTAATTATTAATAGCTTATTAAATAATTAATAAAATCTTACCAAGCTTTCCCAAAATGCGAGTTTTTATATCCTTAAGAGGTATGCAAAAGATGGACTCGATTGGTCAAATAGTTTTTGAAAAATTCCATTTTTGCAAAAAAATACCAGTTTCAAATGACTATTCCGGTGGCAGGGTTATGACTAAAACATTCTTTTCGGCTCATTTTCTTCGAAGGGACACCAAGTATCCTCTAGTTAAAAAAAAATATTTTTTTTTTCAAATTTAGTTGTATATAATTGTTAACAAATGAAGACCACAGGGGAAAAAGGGGGTATGTCACAAAATGTTAGTTTCGAGAAAATCGAATTTTAAAGTTTGGACACACTTATTTTTATTATGTTGATAAATTTAAATAAAAACTTACTAGTTTTATTAATGAAAGTATATTTAACAAGTCTTTAATAACAGTGTAGCTAAAAACAATATGTATCTATACAAAAAAGTAAAAAAACGCAAGCCATTACCCGTTATTCAGGGGAAGAATGGGTATTGTCACAAAAATATACGCATATTCTGGTAAGGAGGATTGTCCAGTTTTACATTTTCTTCTTTCCACACTTCTTCTTTTTGCCTTTTTCACTTTGAACTATTTGTAGTTTTTTCTTGCATATTTCCACTTTTCTTTATCTGTGTGACGTATATTGTCATAGTAATATTGGGCTTCTATAGAACAGAACTTTTTCAGATCTTGCAAATTGCTGAATTTTTTATCTGATATTGGAATGATACAAATACAAAGGAAATAACGTTATTTCGTTATTTATGTTATCACACACACTGTGGAGATGATTTTAAAACAAACTACATACTAAAAGCAAAGCTCATCATTCGCTTAATAATAACGGACGTATATGGACCTTCCCCGTTTTTATCATTTTTCATTTGGACATTCCCCTTTTTTTCCCTGATGCGTACTTTTCAAACACGAATATTAGTGGACTGTGCTATCTTTTTACAGTGGACATATTTTTATAATAAAGTATTGAGGTTTGCCTACCCGCTAGCGGTGTCAGCTCATTTTTCGATATTTGGGACATTCCCCCTTTTTCTCCTGTGGTCTTCAAATAAAATAATTCCGCGGTTTTTAATTTTTGAAAGAAGTTATATACACCATTCGAAAGTCGTAAAAAACCTACAAATTGAAAAAAGCAAGTTTCTACGACCAATAGCTCCGGAGTTAGCAATTTTTTTACAACTAAATATGAAAAAAAAATTTTTTTTTAAATTAAAAAAAGCGTCTCGATCCGACCAATAGGAGTCGCGATAATTTCGCCCCGATAACAAATATGTTTGTGCCTAATGCCGCAGGTTGTCCAACTCTCAGTGATTTCTCTTACTACGAAAAAAATCACTTAAGGGAAAAATGTCACAATATATGAATTTAAAAAAAAAATAAGGCAATTTAATACCATTGAAATTAATTTTTTGGAAAAAGTAATGTATTTTATTCCATTATTACGAGTAGAATTAATCGCGTAAATTTTTTTGCTCTTAGTTTTGGAATACCCTGTATAAAATTAAAGACAACTAACTTTAGCTGTGGGGTTATAAAATTGAAATCTACCTTATAAGTACTGCAAGATTGTACGGAAATGTGTAAAATATTTTTTCCAAAGGGAGAAATATTTTATTTTCAGTTAATAAACTTTTGTGGAAAATCACGAAGGAAATCAGGAGGCAAATACGTACAGAAAATTTAATTTGTTATTAATTTGTATAAAAGATACACTACCGCTTTCACTAATAAATTTAGTTATTAAAAACCACTCTTTGAGCACCTTTGTGTCTTTATATGCATCTGTAATTCAGACTCAGAGCTGTGAACATCAATATATAAACGATAGCGTAGAACGATTTCAACAAGACCACGTTGTCGTCGTTACTGGGAGTCGGCGAAATCTTCCTCCTCACCAACTCGGTACTAGACTTTCTCATCAGCCGCATCTCCTTCCGTTTCTCCAAGTTTTTCTTGTACTGTTCAATGTCGTTTATGTTCTTCATGTCTTTCGGGGGCGGCAACGGATTCTCTAAAACTTCCCTGAACACCACTATTTTCGGTTGAGTTTGCGCGGAATTTTTCGCGTTGCCCTCTTCGTAGATTCCCTCGATGTTCTGCATCACCTGTTTCGGGTTTATGCTTTCATTGGTGTAATCGTAGAACGGGTCCAGTAAGGAATCTCCTAAGAAGTCTTTGTCGGTGGATTTACTGTCGTCGGGGTTTTCTTCTAAATATTCGGATGTGAGGCATGTGGCTTCCTCTGCGACACTATTAACTATTGAATTTTCTTCTTGTTTTTCTTCTGTGTGCATCTGACAGAACACTTGAGTTGATTTGTCATCTATCACTGACATTTCGTGTTTCTTTGTTTTTTCACAACCACCCTCGCTTTTCGCGTGTCTGCCTGTATCGGAATCGAGCTCTTCGGTGGTGTTCCTTACTCGTCTGTGTAGCTTACAAAGCAGAGGCTCCTGTTCGTTATCCGTCAGTGGATCTTGATGCTTGTTTGGGTCACTGTTGTGTAACGGACAGACGTTTGCATTAACATTTTTTGTTTCTGCAACTCTGTTTGACTCGTTTACTTTCCTGGACATCTCCCCATCGCTCGATTCCATCGGGGGAAACTGTTGGGACGAAATTCTTAGGACCTTAACTTTATGGAAGGGGCACAAAGTGATTTGGTTACTCTTATCTTCCTTGCCTAGTTGGAAAAAAGAAACCTTCTTGTTTTTAAGTTGCCTCGTTTCCTCGCTGCTTTTCCTCATGCAGCTTGTTCTCAAGCTGATACTTGTAGTCGATGAATATTGCGCCTCGTGCCATATTTCGGATAGATAGTAAACCGTCGCTTGGCGGCAAACGTGTGCGTAATTGTACAGCTGGGCGATGTGTACCTCGTAGGGTGCCTCTTTTTGTATGTTAGTCAGAGCGTCCAGAAAAGTTATGATGTTGTAGTAAGAAGGACTTTTCTCTACCAGTGCCATTTTGCTGGTCTGCTTTACGGTCTTCCTGGTTTCTTTGACGGCCTGCATGAAAGGCGTTAGGAAAATTTCACTTTGGACGTCGGACACGTTTTCCTCTTTGAATATGGGGATTTGGTCTTTGCTTTCCTAAAATGTGGAAGAAAAATAAGTGGATGGGTGGTTTTGTCTTACAAATACTTACAGATTCTTGTATGTCATCGAGCTGAGAGTAAATATTCTCCACTCGCTTTAAAATCTTCTGGACTTCTTCCGAATAGTTGAGAGTATCGTCTTTGATCGCCACTTGCATTTTACCTTCGACGTTCGTAGATTGCGATCGTGGAGTGTTATAGTCGGATGATTCAAAGTTTTCTGTTTCAAAGTGACTTATTACAGGTGCTGCCGGTTCATTTTGGGACTGTTCTACGGTCGTTTCTTCAAC